GCACATGTAAGCCCTCACATTGTTTTTCTACTGTCTTGGTGTTTTGAATAGTAGCTAATGATATTTGCAAAGCTTCTTGCTGTTACACAGGTTTGTTCCATTCCAATGAGGGACACCCTTTGCTTCTTGCTGGGTGTTCAGAAACAATGGACCAGTCACAAAAGGATTTTGCTTTAGCAGTTGTTTCTGTTGGCTGGGCCACTTCTGATAACATCTCCTCCTGCTGTGTACAAAGAGTGCTTGAGCTGAGGGCTTTAATGTCTTGTATGGTCAGTGTTTTGTTTTAAAGGGTGTAGTAGTTTATTTTTGGAAGGAACTCTGAGGAGCGGCCACATAGCATTGAACTCCCCTATCCTGTTTATCACCTCCAAGTCCAGTCCTTCTCCCAGAATGGGTTTTCAAGATGCAGCACTGTGCTGAACTCTAAGGGAAGATTTGGCAGTGAGTTTTCTGCTTTTGGCAAAGTGTTAGTTGGCACAGGAGTTTGAAAAATGCTTGGAAATAAACTACTTAGGCTAATTCACACCTAGAATAATCTCACACACAAGTGGAGTTCCTTTACAAGTGAATTTGTTCTATTTTCCCCACGTGTTATCTTAAATCTGCTGGAACACAACTTCCATAGCCACCATGGAAAGGCTGATTATGTCCAGAATGGCTAATACACTAATGGATAATGTTTTCCTAGCTGAAAGCATTGTTTAAAAAGTCAAATTTCTGAGTTTTCTTGTCTTATGTATCTTGTCCTGTTTTGCTTGTGCTCTTGAAAGAGTCCCCCACTGGGTCTTTTCTGCATTGCAGCCAATGTATGAGAAGAAAGTAGAAAGAAATTATTACTTAATAGACTTGTCTATGACAGATGGATGGAAACCAGCAATCCTAATTTGCAGGCTCTTGGAGTTCCAAATAATCTAATTTAGCTGTCTGAGGATAATTTTGCTAGACTTCTAGTTGAGTGTTCCAGAAGCATGACTAGACTGATGCAGCAAGAGCTCTGATGTGCCCAAATGCATTACTTGTATAGCTGCTTCACGGAATACTGATAAGCAAGGCTGCAGCAGCCCCATGTGCTTATATCTGTTGACTTTAATGAGACATGAGGTCCTTCTTCTCAAGTGCTCTTCTTGAACTGGTGTCTGACTACTCCAGTATTTCCAAGACAGTTGTATCCAAGTCAAGGCTACTAAGAAAACTCAAACTGAGCAAAGCCTCACAACCAGACTTGATTAAGGGGAGGAGTTGAATGTTCATATTTAAGTGATGGGCATGAGACAAGGAGTACTGAAGACTGTAGTGTGTTTCCTATTGCTTAAATGCATCTTTAAAAACATTACCAAAATCGCCTATCACTTTGACTAATTAATAGTAATAGGGCAAGCTTTTTTGTTTAGTGTGTCATATAGCCTAAGATAACACGGCTCCTCTTTGTACAGGATGCTACAAATGCTTATCTACAGGGCTTGAAATGAATTCTCATATTTTAGAAGAAAGCCACGAATTTAAATCATGTTCTGTTTCCCTTCTGCAGAAGATTTCAGCATATGCATCTCAAGTGGTAGTTGAGCAAAGAGCTTTGTGCCAGCCCATGGAACAGTGAGCAGATTAGCAAGGTTCTGAATTAATTGGAAATACCAGCTTCCTGGAAGACTTGAATCATACAAGATTTGTTTTTTCAAATGTAATTAAGTGCTGAATGTGGATGGAAATAGAGCTGGAAACAAGGTTATGGGTGCAGTAAACACACTAATATCTCAGATTTTTTTGGCAAACTGTGCTAAACTTGTCTATGCAAAATTTGTCAGTTCATACCTTTTTCTAAAAGTTATATAAAGAGTGGCTGACCCGTTATTCCAGAAGCTGGGACCAGAGGAGTTGTTGCTGTCCAGGCCTTGCTAACTTTTCCAGCTCCATTTCCTATAGCAGGAGCTGAGGAAGGAACAGCTTCAATTGCCTTATGCTACAAAAGGATTCCCTCTCAGAGGAGAAAGACCTTGCTGAGTGGATTCATCAGGTTTTGAGCCTACTTCGTGCAGAGTGTTGCACATAGGGCACCTTTAACAGCTACAGAATTCAGTGTTTCACAGATAAGGGTAGATATAGAACAGATGCTTTCTGAAAAGTGATGTTAGGATACCTTTTCTGATGTTCCTTTCTCATGGATCTCAGTACATATTCTTGTGTGTTCTGTTAGGCACTGTATATGTGACTTGTAATTCTCTCAAGTTAACCCCTAGCTGTGAGAATTCTGTGTCTTGTAAATAGTACCATCCGTGTCAGTAATGCTCTACTATCCTGCAGTGAGGATTTACCCTCATGAGTACTGTGTGAATCTGTAACCTCTTCCTGAAGGTCATCAAAATGTAAACAATCTTATTCCATAACCTAAAGTATTGTCTTTGCCTTCTCTAGCTCCTCTGTGACTCTCTTATTCCTAACAGTGGCACAAGTAGCTATGCACAATGCACCACTTAGGTATTTCACCTTAGTCTCTCCTTCCATCAATCTCAGTGATCTCTTCTTTATTAAAGACAAATAATATTGACTGGGTCTGTCTCACAAAGAATTAGAAAGACTAGTGGCAGAAATTAAATGCAGAAGTAGTTGCTTTTTCTTCAAGAGGTCAATTTGACTTGTTAGTGAGGAGCCTCTAGCAGTACCTCTACATCCTTGCTCTTTGGGTGCAAATTAGAAATGTAATGAAAATAGGATATTTATGAATATTGGAAAATGCTTTAACAAGTCCAGGGATTCTAGAAGACTGGTCAGAGCAACTGAAATATGTTGTGCTAACTGTTGTGAATTTATTGTGTGTTTTGAACAGTGAACACTTTGAGTGTTTGAATACACACCACGTAGATAGAAACAATCATCAATTTTCTGTTCCTTTTAATGAAATACTGTGGCATCTCTCCCATCCAATACTGCAGGAGTTTCCTTTTCCTGCTGGAGGTTGTCTTGTTCCTTAAACAGCATTTACTTAAGCATAGAGAATTCTTTCATGTTTCTGTAGACTTTGCTTGGAAAGCAGTAGTAAAACCTCAGTGCAAGCCACAAAATTATTGTAGTAGTAAAATGTAATATGATGCTCACACATTTTCTGGTATTTGATTTCTGTAAGCTTTTATAAAACACTTAGTAATGTAGATCAATCTGTGCTAGTGACAGCTCATGTGGCTATAGAAAGTGCACAAGGAATGAAGTCCTGAACACTAGCACTTAGTTGAAACTGTACTGGCCTTGCAGAATGTTTCTGGTGGCTTCATTTGAGAGATTCTGTGCCAGGCCAGGTCCATCTTGAAGGTCATTAGGACAGTAGTTTTCATCCTATTCTGTTTCCTCTGAACTATGGAAAAGAAATGAGCATGGAGCAAAGAGACTTGCCTGTAATTAAGATGCAAGGCAGTGACAACAGGTCACTGTTGGTGGTGGGAGGAATGCAGTGAATCACCACTCCTGCTAGCTTATCCTCAACATCCTTCATGAGTGGAAGGGAGCAGATGGCATTGCTTCACAAACACTGCCCCATTTCCAGAGCCAGGCAGCTGAAGCAGAATGAGGCAACATTTGGCTAACGCTGCTGCAGGAGCCTGCACCAACAGTACAGGCAAGCTCCCAACACACCCATTTGAAAGGCAGGTAGGTGTTGCTTTTGCAGCCTTTATTTTGAGCTGTGTCTGTGCTAGCAAAAGAGAAAGGCTTGTTTCTCTTTTAAAATAGCCCAGCTAGGTCGCCAGGAATTATTATCACCAGGGTATCTGTGATTATTTTCATATCAGTGTTGCTAAAGGCAACACAGGACAAATTGCCTATGGTTTGAACTCTTACCATTGTTGAGCAGACCCAGGGTCATCTTTGCTGGGGAAAGCCATTCTCTGCAGTCTCCTGGGACACTCTGCAATAGGAAGAGATTTGGTCTCTGGAATTCCCATAAAAGTGATTTGGCTGACACCTCTTCATCAATGCCAGCAGTCTCATGCTGCAGTGATTTACTGCTTTGAAATCTTCAGATGATTTTAAGCTGAGATTGCATGTATTTATTAGCAAAATTATATAAATGGTAGTGGAAAAAATCATGGCATCTATGCTATGACTTTAGTTACTGCTGAGATTGCTTATGTGTGGACTGATTCCTAGAGGATCTATAAATAGTACAGCTCTCAATGGGATAGAGCTGATTTGGAGTCCCTAGCTTTTGCTTGGTGTTGTCTGGAAGACACTGGACTGTACCATTTCTGTTGGAGAGGAGATCTCTGGTGCCTCTGTTGGCCATAGCCCTAGAAGCTGAGACATGTAGCAGACCCCTGAGTAGCTGCAAGAAGCATTCACTAAGAGGAAAACCTAGATTCTTCCAGACCAGTACCATCCACTTAGATGCACTTGAACCTCCACTGTGCAGCCTCCCCTCCAGAACGGTGCTGCAGCATCGACATCACACCAGAGATGCACTGACTTGGGAGACAGGTTTCCTTCCTGTGCTGGTTCTGACACAGATTGTGAGAGCTCATTCAAGTCCTACTGTTCTCATTCAGGCTGGGAAATTCACATAAACTTGTAACAAATGCAAGTTTGCACAGAACCAGCAGCTGGAGAGTAAGATTTTTGTTGGATGCTATGCTAAGTGTGGATCAGCACAAAGCAAATAGATTTGTCCTTCATCTGCCCTTTTTTTGTAATTACATGTAAAGGAAGTTCATGCTTATTGTGAGAAGTCATGTGCAAGATAGGACAGCTAAAAGCAATTACTTTTTCACCCGTACAGTCCAGTCTTTAGGTGGTATTTGGGATATAAAAACATTGCATAACACCCCCTTTCCCACTCCTGTTATGTTTGACAGACTTACAGTCTTTGTGTAGTAATTATCTGAGTGAAAACAAGTTATGCATCTGGGAGATAAGGGGGTGTGGTAATGTGCTACTGGATGACTTTGCCTTTGATATATAACTTTAACATTAGTTTCAAACATGAGTAGATGAAAATAGGTTTGCGCTTTTTTTCCTAGGTTTTTCTCAGCATTTACCGTAAATCCAAAGATGGTTCTCTGAGACATACACTCTGCTTTGTGATCAAATGACATCTCTGGGGAAACTTCAGTATTCTCCTTATGCTACAGCTTTACATAAAGTGACCTGAAGGCTGTGACAAGGAAATACTGCACTCTGACACCACCAGCCAGGACTTCTGATGCTAAGAGAAATTAATTCCTGAGGTATGTTTTAGCAGCTGCCTTGAAACAGAAGAATCTGTCAACAGAATACTGTGTGAGATGAAGCTTTAGCCATGGGGGGGTGGAGAGAAGAAAAACATGTCCACCCAATTTTTACAAAGGTGGAATAAATTTCAACCAGCACTATGCAGAGGCAGGAGTTGAATCAGAGAAGGCCTTTCCTATTGTCACCCAGAAGGCAGTGACAGATCAGCTTCATTTTCTCATTCCATGTTAGCTGTGCTGAACCCATCCTTGGTTTGTTTTATAGCTATTTAGTTACATAATCAGGGAATCCAGAATATCATTGAGCTCCAACTAAGTAATTCTTCTTTGTCAGAAAAATGAAAGAAATGAAAGAGATTGCTGAAAATGGCTCCACTGATTAGAGTTAGAGTTGGAAGAAAAGAAAGTTAACATTTGAATGAATCCTCATCCCTGATATATTTAAATTGAAATCCATGTAACTTAAAAACTGTTTTCAAAAATGCTGCATACTGCAGACATTCAGCATTTGTGAGGGAAAAAGTACAGACACAAGAAAATTCAAATTGGGCACCTGCAGTCAGCAATCACTTAAAACAATTTTACTGTCTTTGCTGCTCTCCTCCTTATCCTTGCTGCTTTTCCTTACATAGTACAGCTCTGTTCTGAGCTACCATGCTACTGCATTCCTAATGTCATGTAAAAAATGCTACAGGACATGTTTCTACCTCACCAGATTTAATTTATTTGACATTTATGTCACAAAGATACTTGATTAGTGAATTCAGGGTGTCAGCTTTATATAAACATCTCTCATTTTAATACTTTATGGAAAGCTGTGAGTGTTGTAAAATACCTCAGTCACCAGCACTCATTTTTGGAAAACACAGCCATTGAATTATCCTGGTGTACAGTTTTTGAGAAAGAGAGGCCATTATGAGTCATGCTTTTTGCAAAATAAAGTTATGATCACATTTGGTTACAGTTTTCATTCCACCTGTATGTGCTGGCCTGCAGCTTAGACAAACCAGAGCCTGCATGTCTTGAGGTTCATGATCAGCGGTCTTAATATACAACTATTTTGTTAGTGGAGAATTCCATCTTATTTATATTTACAATGGAAATTATCCCTAGTGTATAAATATGGCGATGTGCAGAAAATTTGGTTTAAAAATCGCTTTTTAGGAAGTAGAGCAGCAGTACTTTCAGAATTAATCAAAATTTTCTGGTTTACTGATGAGCTTTAACAGATTAAAGAGCAGACATATGAATTATTAGACTAGTCTGATATGTTGCTTGAAGTCTTAAATAATAATATAATAATATTAATAATAATAATATAACATAATATATTAAATGATGCTATCACCATGCTGCATAACACTTCCCATTAAATGTACTTCTGCTAGTGACAGCCCCACCTTTTCATGGCTTAGTAGCTTTGGATAAACACACATTCTGCAACTGTGTCCAGACCTTTTCAAGAAGTAACAGAACTGGTTTGCCAAGACTTTTCACGTGGTTTAGATGGCTTTAATTTCCTTGTTTCTGTCAGGGATAGACCAAGAAAGTGACATTTGAATTTTGTAAGCTTTTGGTGAGATTTGGGTCAGGATTTTGTGGACATTATCAACCATGACATTAGCTGCTTTTTGATCCCAATAAAAGAACTCTGCTCTCAAATGATCCCTGGATTTTTTTAGTCTACAGCTGGAAAAAGCATTAGCCATATCCAAACTTCTGTCTGACACAAACTCAAAATAGCTGAGGGAGGTGGATTGCATGAGAAGTTTTGGTCTTGTTCCAGCTTGTCTATGAACCTTGCACAGCATTTGTGAAGTGCTCAGCATCAGTCCAGACACACCAAGTGGAAGAAGGATCTCGTGTGTTCCCTGACATTCCTGCTCTGTCTCCTGGATATGGAGAGCAGCCTGTGGCTTGGCACTTTCCTGTGCTTGCTTCCTCCTACTTGCAACAGACCAATGCAATGATCTGTAGCTCATAAGTCCTGAAGTTAGGCTTGGTCATTAATAACAACACCAGGTACCTGTGAGGAAGAGTCCTTCTAACCAGGTCACTAATGGTTAGGCACTTTCTCTTCTCTGTTTCAGTCTGTTGTTGGGTTTTTCTTCAGTAACCTTGTACAGCTGTATACATTTCGAGTGCAATGAGATTGTTTGTATTTTTTTCTTTGAACAGTAGCACTCCACTCAGTCTCTTAACAGCCACCTTCCAAAGTCAGATACATGCCCAGACTCTTTCTCTTGCAAAGGAAGGGCTGGTTCTGTATATTAGCATAACTAATATTGAAAGAAGTCAATGGCTAGTGTGTGGCTCCTAAATCTGTAATATTTTATGTCCGGATACTTGCCCTCAATGCATGTCACTTAGGAAGGTGTGAGATTTCTCTCTGCTTTCCTAGAAATTTAAGGAAATTGGTGAATAGTTTTGGGATTGTGGGATTTTTTGCCCTCTTCTTTCTCTTCTTATATACAGAGAAATTGAATAATGGTTTTCAAGTTCTTCAATAATTAAATTGTCTGTGCAAGAGCTCTCTTCTTTCAGTCACTTCCAGATGCCAATGAAAGCCATGGACTCTGTAAGAACCTAAACAGGGTGGGATCCAGGTTTGCAAATTTGTTCTAGAATGATGCTTATTTGGACTCCTCAGCTTGTTCTTTGTCTGAACATGTCCATCTCTTACTCAAGACTGTGTTATTCTCTATAGTTACGTTAATAGCAAGTTAAATGGCATATTCAGATGTTTGTGTCAGAAGGTCAGAGAAGGTAAATCTACAGGGAATGATGGAGTGTTTCTGTCAAAGGCTTAGGAAACACAGTACAGAAGTGTGTCTGTTTTTTCTCACCTGTATCAGTTAATTTAGGAAGAGCTATTACCTTTGCCTACAAAATTTGCCTTTGAAGCTTTTACTAGTAAAATTACAAGTAGTTAAGATTCAGAAAGAGCTACCAAACATGATATAGGTGAGCAGGGATACAAAGTTGTGTTTGCTACATCAGATTGATTTTGTATGTACCTTGTTTCTTAACAATATACTAATAGACTTAGCCTTTCACCAACATTCCAGTCAAAGTTCTTAATATTTTCAGAACATGGGTTGTCACTATTTTTTCCAAGTGGAAAAAGACCCAACAAGCTTGTTAATATAAGCTTGTAATATAAGCTGCACAATTAAAACCAAACCAAAAATCATGTTCCATTTAAAAAATTACCAGCATTGGTACTTATAACAAAGCCAAATAAGCAGTTTCTGTTTCTTTGCTAAGACTTCCTTCACTATTTAATGCAATACCTGATTTTCTGTGCCTTTGCTTTATTCCACTAACATTTATCTCATTTGTCTGCATTTTTCCATTTAGATACCTTCTCCTGTGAAATCTTCTGCCAAACTTCAAGTACCCCCTGGCTGTCTTCCAAACCCCCTTCAAGGCCTTTCTTTGCTGCACTGCCTACAAATCACTGTCACCTGGCAGTCTTGAGGCTGGAGGCCATCTGTGACCATGGTGACTTCTGATTTATGTGAGCACACCCTTCTTCATTGTTATTCATGCCACCTTCTTTCATACATTTTTCCCTTAGTCACTCAATTTCTTGTCTTGGGAATATGGAGTGCAAGGACTCTGGGGTGGGAGATGCCTAAAATAATGAATATAAGGTGCAAAATAGATGTAGCACTTTGTGAAAAATATGTCAGGAAATAATAAAATGTTTGAAGTGCATATTTGTCAAAAAAGATTGTATCAAATGAATTTTGGAGGAGGATGTGTCTACCAAAATACATAGGCCAGAATCACTGATCCTGCCACAGACTTGGAAGGGTTTTGGTGACTTAAATATCTCATAAACTTCAGGCCTTAACAGGCTGCCATCTAACTCAGAGTAACATTGAATCTTTTCTGAATTTTCATGTGTTTCACACGTCTCAGGATGCACCAGAGCTTTGGCATTTGTGGAATATATCTTCTTTCATACATGGTTAAACCCCCAGCACTGGTGACAGAGACCAGGGCGTGGTACAGCAGAGAATTTTCTGGTGGATCTATCACATATGGGGGACTCCTCTGCCCCAGACTTCTCAAGAGACACACTAGGAAAGCTTTTTGGCTGCCATGTGTCTCTGGAAAGAGACCAACTGTTTACCTTTTAGAAAACCATATCAAGGCAAGATAGGAAAATACCTAAGTGGAAAACATATAAATTTGTGCAAAGAAAACTGTGCAAAATCTGTGCCAAAAAACAAGAAGAGACATTGTTTGGGAAAACCTGTATCAAGTGATCATGAAATTAATTTAGTGGTAGTTCAAGCATTTTAGAGGAACATGATATATTCAACAACAGGGGCCCAATCCTGGCTGGGCTGAAACAATAATAATGCTGAAGTAGTTGCAACAGAATTCATGAAAGTGAAGGTAATTTCTTCTCCACATCCATGGATGATATGTAATGTCTACATTGCTCCTATCCTGCCTCTGTACATTTTCACATGCCCTAGCAACAATCTGAGACAACTTTGGAGAAAGCTGGCTTATCTGTGCATAGAGCTGTGCTGCAGAATCACCATAACCTTTTTGATTTATTTTTCAAAGCTCTTCTGCATGGTTTCTGTCTTGATTTTCTTATCAACTTGATTTAGTACAAATCTCTGGGGTGCATTATATGAAACTGGTGTTGCTGTTGTTGAGGTAGACTCAAGCAAAGAGTTTCTGTTTGTGGAACTGTTTTATGTTAATTAATAATGTCAAACTTCTGAAGAAAAATCTCTTTAGCAATCTAAAGCTGACTTTGTAGAGCAATCTCTTAGCTCTTCTCTGTAGTCTTAATTTTTCTCTATGCCTTGCTTCCCCTGATGAACTGTTTTTGCTTTGAGACTTGGCTGATTAATAGCTCCATGTCAGTGCTCTAATTTGAGCCTCATTTGCTAGAAAGGTGCTGAGCACATTCATTGAGTCAGTGGGAGGGGCTGGTATTCAGCACTTTTACAAACCAGGACACTTACTTCAATGCCTCAGTATGGGTTCAGGAGCCTGATTTAGGCTCCTATTTTTATTAACCAGAGTAATGGCATCCAAATATATTAACTGGTGTGTTCTTTGAATAACTGCAGCTAGTTTTTAAAATAACCCTATGAAGTGACTTTCTTCTGTGTATTGTCTTTGCTAAATATGTATTTGGTTCTTCTGCTTGCTTGAAACTGCCATGCCAGTGCAACTGGGACATGGTGAATGCCCTAAAACCTGAGGACAGTCAAGAATGCATAGATTACTATAACTTTGATTTGAATATATGAGTCTGCAGAATGTGTTGGGGCTCTAAAGGGTGAACAAGGAAGTAACGAGTGTCCCTGTTCAGCATTTCTCCAAAAGGTCCTGTGAGTCTTTGGTCCTACTGAATTTCTCATTGTATAAATTGACTCAATGAACATGTCACATCCTGAAACCTAGCAGACTTTTGCAGGTGGTATTTGAAGTGAGCTGCAAAACAAGACAGCCTTTGATAGGTGTATGAATTTGTATAAATGTATGAGGAATTGTTCACATAAATCCCTCTGCTGTCACAGTGATTTATTACATGTGCAAAGCTCATGACATCCAAATGGAACTGTAGCTGTGCTGCCTAACAGCTGGACTTGGAATAAATTAATGCAGTATTATAATTCAGTAAAGGAGCTCTGCTCATGTCACAGAACCAAAGAGCAGCATATGAGTGTTTTATCAGCCTAGCAGTGACCTGAGAATATATTTACACAAGTATGTAGCATGTATTGCTCTTCTATTCATTATCCTGTGCATTAAGACATTATTTCTGTGGTATCATACTCAGATTTAACCAGAGGAGCCAAAGATGTAAAATACATACAGCTAATTGAAAACATTAATAGAAAAAAACCCTAGAAAACAGCTGTTACTTTGACCATTTCCTTTGACTTTTATATTCTTCCATATCTAAATTGATCAATGCACATAGTCAGATGAATGACAGTCTCCTCCTCAGCTAAGCATTAGGAAAGCTGCGCATGGTGAATGAAATATACTCAAAGTCAAATTGAATGCCTCAAATCCTGGAACTGGATAGCCTCATCCTTCTTATGACAGCCAGTAGCAGAGATGGTGAAGTGGTGTAGACTGTGATGTATTGAGAACTTTACCTGTAATATATATTACTCATAGACATTGCTGTATAGAGATTTTTTTAGCAGAAAAAATGTGAAAATGTTATGTGAAAGCTTGCTTGCTTGTTTCAGGTTTGTTGAAGTTTTGCTCCTTAACAAGGTAGCCTGCTTCAGAGAGGTTTATGATTCCATCTCTCCTGAGGCTCATCAGTGCATTGCATGAGTGTCTGAATGGTGCTTTGTGGCCCCATGATAGGAAATTGTGGAATCAGCAGAAAATTACCCAGTGTTTCATACTTGGTCTGGTCAAACATAGATCATAATCTGATCTCCATTGAAGAGGAGGTATTTTGAGAATGTTCACTCTGTTTCTCTGTTTTGAATATTCATGCTTCCTCTGTTTTGAGGAAGCCCAGAGACAGGCCAGCAGCACTCAGTGGTCCCTAGAGTAGAGGCCTTAGGATTGATTGCTGCTTTGCAGTTCACATGTTTTTTTTCTCTAGACTTGAGGTGGCTGTGTGGAATGGTAGTGCCATAGGGCTGGGCTGTATTGCACTATTAGCAGCATGGCAAGTAAACCCAGCAGTTATGAAATCTCATCTTTCCCCCTTTCATATGCGCAGATAAAAATGATATCTGTCAAGAAATGAAAAAGGAGCATGGCAGGAAGAAAAATACCATGGTCAAGGCAACTTGAAGACTCCTGATCCCCCAGTGTTTGGCCTAAGCTATTGTATTCTTTTGTCCCATATTTTCCTTATAAGGCTGCTGGCCTTGAGCAAGTTCAGATCCTTCTAGCCTGACCCTGGAGAAAGAGACTCAAGTATCAACACAAAAGTAATCCTGAATCCTATGTATCTTGTCAGCTATGACATTCATATCACAGCAGATATTTTTGTGTGCAGCTCTGTGGTCTTGTGCATATATTTCACATATGATCTGTAGGTATTTGTAGGTACTGATGAAAGGTGCAATCTGCAAAGTAACAACAGAGAACTCTATAGGTTAATATAAGGGACACCATTTTTCTCGTTCTCCCCTTGATTTCTATCAACTGTTTAATGCTGTCTCTAACAGTGCAGTAGCCCTGCTGCCTCTTTCAGAACTGCCAGGAAGCTGGTGCTTATATTATGATATTTCCAGATAATATTCATTTTTATTGTGGTATAAATCCTGATTCATAATGTGTCCGCCTAATTTGTTTTCTCTTGCTTCTAGGTGTAGGCATAATCTCTTCATTTGCTCTTACAGTTGGTTATGAATTCATTATCAAATTCAAGGGATGCTTTGTTCTCCTCCATTCTGTGCCCCTTTCAAAGTCTCCCCCACAACTTATTTATTTACTTCTTAGCCCCCATTAATCATTGCCATATGTGCCTCACTTTGCAGAGATACTCGGGGCCACTCATGGCTGTTGAACAAATGTAGAAGACACACATGAGTTGCTGGTCATACTCTACATAGAGAACAGACCACACACAGACACAAGCTCCAAAGACTGAGAACTCAAAGGCACACGTTAAATTAATATGGACCAGCTTTTTACAGCCAGAGAGAGAGAGAGAGGGGGAAACCCTGACTTCTGTTTTTGCACAGAAACTGATTACATGGTGAGTATTTTAAAGGTCAGGTTTCTGTTGATAATACATCCCTAGGAATTTATTTTAATACGTATCCAGTTTGAGGTTAAGCCCATGAGTTTAATTGGAGTTCATGAGACAGAGAGATTTGGTCTATTGTTCATTAAATAAAATATGCTTCATTTAGATGATATAAATCTGTTTGAACATTCCAGGACATGTAGTTGCTTTGAGCTGTTCAGCTGGTTCCAGCATCCAAGTTGCTTATTTCCATGGTTCCTGAAGGTATGTGTCTGGCTGCTGCAGCAAAGATGGAGCAACAACAATAAGATGCAGAGAAGCATGCTGGTGTAGAAAACCTAAAATTTCTGCTAGACCTTTGCATGGTGCAGATGGTAGTTTGCCTAAAATCTGAGTCCTGATGTCTCATTACTATTTATCTTGTTAACACATCCCAGTTGATTTTTATTTTTATGCACTTATATTCCTGTCTAAGGACTCCTGAAAGCTAAAACAATGAATTGCAGTGCAATAAGTTTCTGTAAAAATTCTGGAGTTGTGTAGCTTTTTTTTTGCCAAGGTGATGCTTTTGCACTGCAATTTCTTCTATGAATTTTTGAAGATTTATCTCATAAAACCCAATGTAGCATGATTTCTGTCATTGACATTTCTTCTTCTAGGCCATTACCATCTAGTCTAGTAATTTGTTTATATGGAAAGGGTATTCAAATTAACATCTGACATTTTCTGCAAACCATATAGAATTTCTCTTTCTGACTGTGCTTCAGCAGTCCTTATTGCACTGTTGTCTTGCCACAGACTGTATTTGCATGGAATGCAGAGGGATACATATGATTGCGTGGGGTACAGAGGCATGGGATGACTATTCTGATGTACCCTCATGAAGGGATGTGTGTCTCTATTATTTTGAAGTATTAGAAAGCTATTGGTAGTCTTGCCATACTATATGCAGTTAATTT